GTCCTAAAGATGATCACAAGCACATGCTCGCAAGCAATAAAAGAAAGAAACGAATCGAAAGTAAGGAAAGTACTGAGTATGGGTAGAACTGCAAAATAGAAAAAAAGGATTTATGCAATAGACTCGAACTCCTCCCGCTCCCGAAGTCGGTTGCGCGCAAGTTCGTCCCCGCCATTGGCCGACAACTGCATCCAGTGCAGTGCCAGGCACATGCTCTGCGGGTCAGACTTGGAATCCTTGTCGCGGCGGTACATCATTTCAGCCTTGAATGTGTCTCGCAGCAGTGTGAGTGGTAGGGTTACCCGCGGGAGGAGTTCAGGATGGGTAAGGTAAAGAATGGCCAGTTCCCGCTGGGCAACTGGATTGCCTTCCTTGGCAGTGATGATCCACATGCCCGCAGCATCCTCGAGGGCGTGCCCGGGCCGGGGTGTATGGTCGTAGCCAGGCGGATGGCGCCGACTGAATTCTTGAGATACAATGTTATCGGCGATTTCGACCATGCTATTGCAGATCTCGTCCTTGAGGCTCAGCGCCGCCAAGCCAAACTGTAGAAATGCAGTCCCGCTGTCAGTCTTGTTCAACGTCTCCGAAGGAACAAAGGCTGAGATGAACTGCAAGTCACGGAAAAGGGTCTTCGGCTTCACTTCAAGGAGGAGGCTGCGAAGAGCATCCACAATCTGATTCTCGGTGGGTGCACAATAATCAGAGGGTCGGGAGTCGAAAATGACAGACTCGGCCGCAGGAGTCGTCGGTGTATGAGAGGATTCCTGGGCATGAGTCCGCTTGGCGTCAGACTCGGAGAAGCTATGACGGGCGCTTCTCTTGTTCTGGAGCCCGGGAGTACGACCTCGCGGGCAGGAGGGCGGATCAGTTGCACTGAATGGGCTTGCATCATCGTTATCGGAGTTCAAAGATGCAACAACAAGCGCCCGCAGATCCCGCAACGCCTTCAGCTTGATAAATGGGTTCCCATGTCGCGAGAAGACTTCTATGAGGCGTCGGAAGACAGTACCGTACGAGAAGCGCTGCGTTTCATCTGACTGCATAAAGTTGTCAGCGGCAGATGCAGACGGTGTCTCGGCATCCCCGGTTGTTGATCGATTTGCAGACTCCAGCGATCTGCTTCTCCGACGGTCCGACGGTGTGCGCTGGAGAGAATGATGAACGAATCGCTCATCACACTCGGTGTAAAATTGCTGGATGCGCGCGCGTTTCTTCATCTGGGATCGGATTCTTTTCTGTTCCAGTGCGTTTCCAAACCAAGCGTCTGTCTCACTTCCACAGCTCCACACCGGGGAGCCCAAGTCACTCAAGAGCAAGCTCGTCAGGGTCTGTTTCAGGCCGTCCAAGAAAGCTCCTTTGCTTTGCGTTTTGCGATCATTGCGACGTGACGGCTGGACACCGTTATCGCTGAACATAGAGGGGGGTCGGGAATATAGGCTGGAAGCACTTGGTGCATAGTGTGCGGGTTGTGGTGTTGACCAGAATGTGCTGAACGAATCGCCGGTAGTAGTTGAGGCAGCCCTTCCTGGGGACCCGCCGATTGAAGAGGCGTCTGTGATCGAGGGCTCCCGAGGGATTTTCCACTTATCGGACATCAGACTCTGGAAAGAGGACTTGGAGCTCAGCGGAGCTGGGTCCTGCGTAAACCTTGAAGTGTCTGATGGACGAGTAGTAGTCCCGTGGACTGGCGAGGCATGTGGCGTGTCTTCACTGGAGATATTGAACGGTCGCATGCTTGAGGAGAGGCTTAGGAAGCTTCGGTTACTGGAGCCCTCGTACATGGCCCGCTCTTTGTGATACAGTTCGCTGGACCACAGCACCGGGGTTTCGGCCATGGTCTCGCCAACGAGTCGATTGATGCTTGTCTTTACCTCGTAGCAGAACCGGTGGATTCGCTCCTCACCTTTGCAGAAATTGTCGATGTTGTTGTGAGAGAGCCATTTGCGAATCAAGTCCACCTGCTCGTCCGACAGCTTGTTGGGACCGCCTTGACTGCTCGGTGCCTTCATGATATTCATGACTTGCAACTCTGGTTTCTGAAGAAGGGAGTTTCCGAAGGGTCTCATGCTGCTGCGAGACCGGCCATCGCTTGGTGCTTGTCTGTAGAGGCGAGCAGAGTAGATCATAGTCTTCAATGCCAGTGCGACATGTTTGGCATCTTCGTACCTCATCGAGTGCTTTACATCAGTCATGTACCACATCTTGTCTCGAAGCTTAGCCACAGTGGCCACCAAGTCCTTTACGGATCTCTGCACCCGTTGCACATGCCTGTTGAGGGCAACGAGATCAGTTTCACACCGTTCAATAACCGCCCGTGAGGTAGCGAGTGAGCGGACACACGATGCATGCATGGGCTCGAGGATCCACGAGTCGTCGACGCGTCGAGAGGGAGAGTTTGCAACGCTGCGGACAAGCTGTCGGCCGGCATTCCACCAGTAGTGGGCCCCGATGAAATCAGAGTCATGATGGCAGTGCTCCATGGCCCTATCGAACTTTTGCTTTAGGGATACATGGGCTTCTTGGGGTACGTCATAAGTATCTATGAAACCATAGTCTGCAGCATCATCGGCGGGGTTATCTTGAATCAGTTTCACAATGGCTGTTTGGAGAGCTTCAGAGTTGTCTTCCATTCCCAAGGTGGTGGACTGAACGTCGTCCACAGAATCGTGCTCCGGAAAACTGGACGGGCCATTATCGGGGAAAAGACCCCAGGTCAAGCATCTTCCATTTCGGCTCATGGAGAAGATGGTCCATTCTTCAGCTGCAGGTGGTTCCAGAGTTGCACGACCATCAGGCTCGCTTAGATCTGACAACTCGAAGCGGATCCTGTCAGGATTGCGGCTCATGCAATTCTCCGGTAGCGACAGAAAGGCCAGGTCAGAAGCAAATAATCTCTGGTCCTGGAGGGCGTTGATGGACATGTTATCGGAAGGAGGCCGGAAGAATCCTGGCTCAATGATAGACGCTATAGAGCGATCTGACCGAGCGGCCAAAGAACCAGCAGGGGAGGAAGGCAACCCGGAAGACGAGAGCGGGGAATTGCATGTAGAAGCGGTTGTCCTAGGGAATAGAGCATTCAGCAGGGTTAAGATGTCAGCAGCGGAGAGCATCAAGAATGCAGCAGGCGATTCCCGGCTGCTGATAGCTGTCGCGCGGGAAGAGGTTTGTATTCCGAAGACGTTCCTGCGAGGGTCGGCATGGTCGAACCGGCAAAGCATGCTCTCAACGTGCCTTCTCACCGTGGGACGAGCCATAGAATAGTGGTTCCTACAAGGTGCGTTAGCGAATGCTCTAGATAAGGGCTTCACGTAGTGACTGGACCAAGGGACAACGGACATGGAATGAAGGACGGCAAAGACTTGCGAGTAGGCACGGAGTCCGACCTGTCCGAGGAGCTTCTCTCTAGCATCTTTTCTGATATGGAAGTCAAGCAAGAGACCGTGTGCCTGGACATAGTGTTAGAGTAGGAGCTTTAAAACATCTGGGTGAGCCTTCTCATACCTCAGGGTAGGTCAGTGCGCTATAGAGGAATTTTGCAAAGAACCACTGGACAAACAAGAACTCAAGGAAACGGTCACGACCGTCCTGACGTTCGAGTTTCTGCAAAATAGCACTGCTCAATTGCATCACCGCATGCGGAAGCCCTCCATCTGGGTCATCCAAAAGCTGGAACAATGCATCTACTGCAGAAGCAAAAAATTCCTCGGCCACGTCGGTCTTCAAGGGATCGGGAGGCTCTGTACCAAAACTCATGCCAGGGGGAGTTTCTACATGTTCCAGGAGAAATGCGCCGGTTTGCAGGATATCCATGAGATAGAGCTCAAATTTGGGCTTCGCTTTCCATTCACTGTTTGTGGCCCAGGAACCTAAAATGTGGCCGAGTAGGGGATCGTACTTGATGCCGCCATCGGATACAAGTTTTGCAAAGACAGACGACCAAACATCCAAGCGGAGCTGTGCTTCCGGGGCATCTGAATCCAGTGGGGACGCATAAACGTTGAACAGCAGAGTAGACAGGGCATCCGTACGCTCAAAAGTCAAGGCGCGATCTTTAAGGGAAGAGGCAGAAGAGCGCTTTGAAAAGGAGGCATGAGTCCGGGAACGGGATGCAGGTGGTGGGAATGACATCTCAATGGGATCGCTTGCAGCGCCCGCAGATGATACCAAGGCCGTCAGTTGGCCAGGAGTCAAGGCTCTTATCCTCTCCAAGATGAATTGAGGATCGGTACGGGCCAAATGTAGAATTTCCAAAAGATCGGACCTAGATTGGGGGCTCAACTGAAGGAAAAAATCCGGGGAACGGTCCACGGAGGATTCGCGGATGGGCGACCATTCTTCCAACGGATCCTGCCGGTGAAAGTTGCGCCGGAAAGCGGAATCGCATGATTCCTGGAGGTCTACCAGGGTATGATAGAGAGCAACAAAATTGGGCTTATCATCGTGTTTAAGGCGGTCGACCAAGCCTCGTTGGACGATTGAACTGACGCGGACGAAGCGCGCCGAAATCCCCATTGAAACCTTAAGAGCATGGAGACGGTGTTCCAAAGTCTTCCGACGACTCTGATTATGATGATTTTGACGATAACGAACGGCCAACTCCTCAAAGGATACCTTGGGCAGCTCCGTAGGCAGGGAGCCATGGTTGTTTTCCTGGGACTGTCCATCCTGGGAGCAGACGGGGCTTGCGACACGCGAAATCGGGCGATCCAAGTCGCCAGACTCACCTATGGTGTGACCCGCCATTGCGTCGGGAGAAAAGAGCATGGGAGACATGCTAGAAGTCGCAACCGGAGTGGAAGATTGAGGCGCGGCCTCACATGGTGTAGTTGCCTGAACGGATGAGGGAATCAAGCCTGACGAGCCAGAAAACAAGGCCGAGCCGTTAGCACGTAGTTAGTCGGGCTGGGTGGCTATACTATTGGGGAAAGGACAGCAATCGATCGCATGAAGCAAGCCAATATCGATGCGTAGGACAGGGGGGCAGGCGATTCGGCAAATTAATTTGCCAATTAAGTGGACGCGCACAAAATGACCCGAAAGGAGTAAACGGAGGAAGACAGGGCGCAAAAATGGGAGAGAAAAGAGTCGGATTCGAAGAAGAAGAGAAGAAAAAGAAAGAGAGCCGTGCGCGCACATACAGGTCACATAAGCCAAGGTGGATGAAAGAGCATCGGATTGGGCATCGAACATGGTGTTGCCATGGGCAGTCGTCTCCTGGACACTAGGCCGAGACGAAGACAGCTGAGGTTGCAAGTTGCCCCCGGCGCGAGAAGCTCCCTCACTAGCGCATGGTCCTCCTAAAGGAGAGGCGGTAGGTGAGATTCGGTCCTCATGGGGGGAATCCAGATGGTGATGAATGGTGGACACGATGGAGAGCTCCAGGATGGGAGTGGGGGCGACGAGAAGATGGTAGTAGTGGTGGGAGGGGATGGTGTTGTTGGTGGTGGTGGTGGTGGTGGTATTGGTAGAGGGTTGAGGTGGGAGAAGAGAAGGACGAAGGAAGAAAGGGTAGTAGTAGTAGAAGAGGAAGAAGGGTCAGAATTAATAGAAAAAGGCAAGGTGGGAAAACTAGACACACGCAGAGAGAAAGCGAGAGGAGGGGAAGTTGGAGCAGAGGGTAATGGAGTGTGCGGTGGTGGTAAGTAAGTAGGTAGTAAGTAGACGTAGTAATGGTGAAAGCAATACTACGAATGAAAGTGGGCAGGATAATAACAATATTGAGGACGACTGATGGAGGGGGGTAGATTGCAGAAAATGGAGAAATATAATCCACACCCACACACACTATTTCGGGGACATATACCAAGAAGGTGGAAAATAATAATAAAAGAGAAAACTAAGCACCGAAACAAATAATAGCCAACAGTGGGATAGCCAGTCAGTCAAGTCAGCTACCAAGTAAGTACAGTATGTAAGTACTAGGTAGTAAGTCGTAGAAGAGGGATTCGAATGAGGGAAGAATAGTAGTAGAATAGGAATAGTTGAATGATTCACAGGCTGATAAACTCCGACCTCGTCCGGATAAGGGAGGGACAACTGGCTGACTTGGCCGTGGGCGGGATGACATGCAGACACAGACAGACACTACTCTCAAGGAAATAACAGAATAATAATCAGAAAATCTAAAAAAGAAATACGAAAAATAATATTGTTTTTGAAAAGGAAAAAAAAAAAATCAAAAATCAAAAATCAAAGTCCAGTTACTAACGAGGAACTCCCGTGGGCAGTATTACTCCTACACGGCTAGCGGATGCCAGCAAATCGAACGATCCGGAGGGGAGGGGCGAAAGGGAAAGCAAGTCAGAGCAGGATGGAAAAGAGTGGTTGGTCAGGCTGTGTGACTGGCTGGTCGGCTGGATAAAGGAAAAGAAGGCGTGGATTTGTTGGCGGTGACTCGAATCGGCCGCTTGCAGGGACCGATGAAGCTGCAGGGTGAGGCAAGAAAATAAGTTCCTTTTTTTTTTTTTTCCTTTCTCTTTTTTTGACTTATTCGTCAACTTGTACCTTGCTTGGGGACCGGGGCGGGAGCAGGTACATTATTTACTAACTCTCCATTACTTCCCATCCAGTTTCTGCAGCCCAGACGGCTGACCTTTCCCGGTCTGGGGAAATCAGTAAATTTACGTATGTATCTAACTAAGTAGTCAATCTCCTGATGCTGTGAGGGAGGACAGCTGAACAATTAGATCTGCTCAAGTAAGTAAGAAATATCATGTAAATATCGACTGACCTTCCTTCAAACATTATTTCCATCAGTGAGTGTGGAAGATAAGTATTAGTAGTGGTAAGTAGATAGTACGGAGTAGACAAGACACGAAATCAAACCCGGTCAGATCCCCAGCAGGCCAACGAAACAGCAGAGAAACGGATGAGAAACCGGACTAATCCTGATACTGTTTTCCCTTTTTCCTTAGCTTTTTCTACCCTACCGAACGAACTAAACTTCCGCCCGGAACGAAGAAAAGAGAACAGCAAGAGGGCGCGAAGAGAGACAAGACAGAGAGAGCGAGAAATTCCTTGATGAGCTGGCAATGCATGCATGCATGACGGACCCTCCGTCGGGAGCCACTGATTTGTTGGCCGCCCCCCTTACTGTGTTGGCCCGACTAGTCAGTAAGTAGAGTTATGGGCTCAGCCTGTCTGGTCTTGTTTCCCATCCTCGGTCAGGATTCTCTCTCTCTCTCTCACACACACACACACACTTTCTGTCTGTGGGTGTCTCGTCTCTTTTACTGAACTGATCAGCTGTACATGGGGGGGAAGAAGGGCGAGGGGGAGGGTGACTGAATGAGTAAGAACTTGATGAGTGTGGGTGGACTGAAATGGAAAGTCTAGCTAGTAGTATGTACTTACTTAGCTGGCTAGCTACTAACTAAAAGGTAACCTGCAGGTCAGACACTTTTCTTCGTAACCCCATAAGAGTAAGCAAAGCAAAGCAAAGCAAATGTTCCGGATCATCTCACTAATAACGATGATTGACTGCATCTTGAAACCCCCAAATAATAACCCCATCCATCCATAATCCTCCTCCTCCTCCTCCTCATAAACAAGACTAACTATCTAGTAAGAGAATAAGTTGACGGTCCCTCCCGTCCCAAAGTTGATTTTGTGGCTCCGCGGCACTAAGCCCCATCGGGCGCGACAACCAGCAACCCCCCACATGCACGTGTTCATCTGCCACTTGCCCAGCTGGGTTCCCCCTCTAGTCCCAATTGGGGCTTAGACCACAACCAGCAGATGGAAGCTGGTGAGGAGGATGATGATTCACTCACTACAGTACCCATTCCATCAATCAACAATTTTAACGCACCGAATAAAATGTGAATATTGATTTTTTTTCTTTATAATTTGATTTTCAATCTTATTTACATGATGCGGGTAAGCGCGTTTTCAGCTCCCATGCCTCGGATTGCTGTTGCCCGCTTCAGCTCCCATGTTCATCCAGCCGGAGGGATGTACGGAGTATGTATGTATGTATGGATCTCACATTGCCAGTGTCTGGACTCTCTCTATCTCTCTTGAGTGGGCTACTAGTAGATACAATTCGAGTTTGTACGAGTAGTTGGAGGAAAAGACACAATGGACGCGCATTCACTCACTCATAACCCAGACGCGCAGCTGGTCTAGACGCTGTTCTATTCCATCCACCCACCCCACTTTCCCATATCCATTATATCCATGATATTCATCCAGGCTGGAATGGACTGAACTTACGACGACAACAGCCATCATCATCACCACCACCACTCATCTACCTAGAAACTCTGCGATGTATAGTGCCATGTACGTAGTATGCATGTACGCAGACAAGTAGGTCCCCGAGAGAGGTGCATCTACCCGGGTTCTGAAGTGTTTCCAATGCCAATCCCAGTGGTCAGGTCTGGGTCAGTTCATGTCATGTCATGTCAATGAGGCTTTCCCGCAGGCTGTGTGCTTGTTGTGTTGGCACCGCTCTGCACTGCGTTTTCCCCGATCTATTATTAATATATTTTTTTTCTCTTTCCTCTCGCGCTCTTCGCTGTCTTTGGTCTCTATAATTCCCCGCTCCATTTTGCCCCGACAGTTTGCTCAGGAACATTTGTGATTGGCGATCCCTGCCGTATAAGCAGTTCCCTTTCTGACTTGCTACTACCCCTCCGATCATCATCTCTAAACATTTCACCAGCCCCTTCTCCTTCCCCTCCTTCCTGATGTATGGGATGAATATCCCGGACACATGGTCCCTGCTGTGATGGGGGTCGGTGAGATGAGATGAGACGAGAATACTTCCGTATAGATGCACCGTAGGAACATTGTCTGGTAGTGCTTGTCTCTCTTCTTTTTCTCTTCTCTCCGTAATTCATCGAAACACAAACTCTCCTTGCCAAGCGACATTATCCGACCAGTCCAGCCACCCACTCACCCGAGTCAGTGTCCGGTCGACTGGACGACCAGACGTTGAGTATATAGTCGACAAATGAAACACTAGGCAAGGAGGGACGGGGTAAATCGTAAAACTGAAACGAAAAGAAAAGAAAGCAAAGAAGAGACAGGAGACGCAGAGAAGGAGGGGTAGACATGTCCATTGGGGAACCAATCAACCCACTCAATTGGCCGACAAGACCACTCTCTCGGTCTGTGACTGATCTTTTCATTATTTCTTCTTCTAAACGCCGTGCTCCAAACACAACCGTAACCAGTCCCCTGGTTATGCGTTGTCCTTCCCGGGGGCCAAACTTGCCAATCCCCGGCCACGGCTAGTTGCAGACCCATTTTTTGTCAGCCTCTTTCTGTCCCACCCGCGTGGCCACGCTGTTCAGCGTGTCTTTCAGACTGTCTTTCGAGACCTTAGGGAACCTATGGCGGCGCATCCCTGATGATTAGCCTTCCGATCAACAAGCATCCCTTGTGGGCCCACGTCTTACCGTTTCTTCAAGATTTCAATCAACCCCATCTTGGTCAGATCACTGCCATTCACCACCTGCTTGAACTCTTCCAGCTGCTCCGGCGGCAACGTTCGCTTTGTCCTCCCAGCTGTCAGAACGGCCAGGGTGCCCCCGTCCGCTCCCGGCCCACTCCCGGTCGGTTTGTGTGAGGATGATGAGGATGGGTGCCCCATGAAGGCATGGAGCGTCGAGCGCCCCAGACCAGCCGCCTGCGCTGGCTCCGCGGCGGCCTTCGGTTTCTGCCAGTAGGCTGTGGAGAACGGGTCAATAGGGAAGGTCACCGAGTCGGAAATGATCTCCATCTTGTACGCCTGCAGCTCCGGGTCCACGCCATGTTCCTGCCATCGTATACCAGTGCTGACGGGTTCTAGGTCCCCGACGATGTGACGCCTCTTGCCATCGATCGGATGGTCCTCCTCGTCATCCAGGAAGCCATCCATGTCATCCTCTCCGTCTTCACTCCCTTCCTCTTCTTCCTCTGAATCCAGATCCTCGCCTTCCTCGGGCTCTTCCCACTCAGCTTCCGAGTCGTAGTCATAGTTCGTCTCCGGCAGCCCGCGGCGAAAGGGATTGCGCATCAACCGGCGGACGGATGACTCCGGTAGGCTCTTGCTATAGGTTCCCTGATATGGAGGCCGAACATCCTCACTAAATTTCAGTGATTTCATTCTCACTTGTCTCAGAAGATCGCGAGCTCTCTGGGCAGCTTCGGAGGTCTCTGACTGATCCGCAAGGTTCTGCATCTGTAAGAGGATCTGTTTAACTGAAGCGGGCAACCTTCCACGCCGTCGCTGGTATGGCATGAGCTGGAAGAGCTCGGAAGGACGAAATATTACAGGCTCATGCTTGCCATCCTTGGCATCTTTCAAGTAGGCATCAACTTTCTCCCGCGTATGCTGCAGAGCTTCGTTGTCGCGCTGGAACCTGTGCGGTGGCGCAAATGTGGTATGTGACTGGAGGAAGAACTCTGGAAACTCGCGCTGGTAGTCAGATACAGTCGATCCGGAGTCAGGAGAGGGGTCATTCGAAGCGCCAGCGCCAGTAGTTTTGCTAGGAGAGAGGGTCGTGTTCGATGAGGATGGTTGCACCGGGGTTTTCGGTTTCGCAAAAAAGGAGTTCAGCTTCATTTGCGCCTGTTGCGTGTCAGATACCCGAATTCTGCATTCAGCCAGAATAAATTCAAACTCACTCTTTCTTTCTTCAGCTTCTCTTCCTCTTTCTTCAACTTCTCTTCCTCCTTCTTTCGCTTCTCTTCCTCTTTGGCAGCCTTTTCCTCCTCCTTCGCCTTCCGTTTTTCTTCCTTCTTCTTGCGCTCCTCTTCCTTTTCCGCTTCGCGCTTCTTCTTCTCCTCTTCCTTAGCTCGCTTCTCTTCTTCTTTTACCCGCTTCTCCTCTTCCTTCTCAGCCTCACGTTTCCTCTTTTCCTCCTCTTTTTTAGCCTTCTCTTCTTCCTTCTTGGCCTTCTCCTCCTCCTTCTTAGCTTTCTCCTCTAGTTTCTGCCGCTCTTTGACCTCCTTCTCCTGTTGCTTCGCCTCTTTACTGGCCGGCGACAACTTCCTCTTCTTCGCAGCCGGGGCTGTAGTCGTAGTGGCAGTCGAATCTCCAACAACCGAAGTCTTCTTCTCGTCCCCAGGACCACATGATTTCAATTGTGTATCCCGATTCTCTTTGTTATCATCTGTATCGACACGAGCATCCCCATCAATCTTCATCTCCACATCCGTAGTTGTGTTCGCATTCGTATCATCCCCCCCTTTCGCAGCAGCCGTATCCCCATCGACATCCCCTATCGAGCGTTTCCTCGCCGGCGACCCAGACATAGAGATAGACGCGGGGTAGGTATTCGTATCCGACGGAGGAGATGATAGTGACGACAAGGACGAGCCAGCAGACGAGTGTGGCGAAGATGCAGGAGCAGGATTAGGAGGAGCGGTGGCGGTAGCAGTATCTGTCGACATGGCGGTACTTTCCGTTCCCGGGATGGTGTATGGTGGTATGAGCCGCGATAAGGATGAAAAAGACGGTGAATGACCTTATTGACGACTCAATGGACAATGAAAACGATAATCTAATCATCCAGCGGAGAAGTGTAAGGCTGAGGCTGTATGTGGGAGGGTATCAAGAGGAAGGATGAGACAAAGGAGTATGATAACGATAAAAATAAATGGCACCTATGAAACTCCTCAATTCACAACTCGGTCAGTCTATCATCGTAACTTAACCACTTTAGTGAATAAATTGCAGAGTGCGCGCGCATGCACAACCTCGTGCTGGGGTACTTTGCAAGGGTTGGTTTAAGCTCACATCAGTGGCCGATAACCAGCCAGGTAGGTTTCAGGGTCATGAGAGGAAAATGAGCGGAAAGTATTAGGAGTGAAGTTGAGGAAAGCCGGTGATCCAGAAGAGTGATCGATTGAGGGGTCTCTTTCTGGCCGGCTGGACCGTGAGCTAGGTAGTTAGGTTAGGGGTCGTGCAAAGTGATAGACAGACAAGACAAGAAAGACAGGCAACAATCGAGGCGGAGATTCCAGGCGTGGGAGAGGGAATCTTGGCGTCTGGTGAGCCTGCCAGGTTGCCCGAAACGCGTTGTTAATTGATGTTCGCGACTGGGATTTCGCGTCCCGCACGTGTAGTGGATTATGTAAGGACCCCCCTAGTTCACGACCACTAGATTTCTTAGCCCACCTTCATTCATCTATCTATATCGCTGGAGCTTTGCATGCAGAGTTCTTGTCTGTTAGATATTGAATTTGGGTCTATTCGATGGTTGTACTGAGAGTGAAGCTACTGGTCCATTGGTTCACTATGCGCTGACTCCGCCTAAGTCCGTGCAACCTTACAACAGCTCTCCTTAATACCGTCTACTTCGCTATTGCGATCAATGTGGTGATATGTACAATAGTATTATTATTACTTTGCTCATAAATCCATCGGACGCCAACTTGGTGCAAGGGGTGCGAGTTCAAGTAGCACGCAACCCTTACAGCACAGCAAAAAGCGCCAATAACATGCGGTGAGGGGAATAGAACAAGTTCAAGTCAATCAGTTGAGGGGCATCTTGCCATCGTGAAGCAAATCAAGGCTGGAGGGCATAGCAGGATCATTGCACCAGACATGGGATCCAAGCCCGAGTTTGCAGGACGAGAGTTCAGGAAAAGAAAGGAAAGAGGCGTAGAGCTCGAATTCGACACGGACTGCATAGTCGATGCAGCGCCAAATATCAAAAGTGTATGTGAAAGGAATAAGCCCAGTAATCAACAAGCTGCATCTCTAATCACTCAAATCGGGGTTCGCCACGAAAAGCCGGACATTGGTCATGGACGTCGTTCGATCATCTACACTGCCTCGGCGCCGCAGTTCATCCGCCTTCTTCGCCTTGTCGATCGCCGCAGAAGCTGCACTTGGTGCGGCCATGTCACTCACGGTGCCAAAGTACTCTTCGTGCTCACTACCGAAACTGTTTGTAGTAGCAGCATCATCCTTAATGGAGGCGTGGTCCTGCTCGGCTTCGTGACTTTCCGCTGGTGGGTGCTCGGAGACATCAGGGAGGTCGGTCTTCTCATTAGGAGGCGTACTGGTGCTCCCCATCGTGCTCTGCGGAGTACGTTGGTAGCCACTGGGATAGCGAGAATTGCTACCCAGAGAACTGCGACCGCTACCGGTCCGGCGATAAGGGAAGCCTCGGTCACTGTGTGCATCCTCATCTGCATCACCGACCTCGTTCGCACTGAGCCGAACCGGGACAGTAGCGCCGACGAGTGTCGAGGGGGAGAAATCAGTGGTCCCCTTGCCGCCGTGCTTGTTCTTGCCGCTTCCAAGGGTACCCGTGCGCCCGGCGCCTGCGCCGTGGACTTCCAGGTACGCCCGCTTCTTATCGACCAGCTTCTGCGCCCGTATCCGAGGATCCTCGGGCTGTGCCCGGTCACACCATACTGTTGCCTTTTGTCTCCGCATCAGAGCCACATAACCCAGCTGAGCATGGGCGGAGCGGGACGAAGTGCTGCGGCGAATATCTGTCTGTGGGTTACCGCCGTAGTTAACATTGCCGGTGGAGGTCGTAGATGTGGTCGCACTCGATAACCGCCTGGAAGGGGGGTAATTGGGAGGACCGGTCATCGTATGATGTGGTGAGGGTCCCGCAGAGTATGCCTGCTGCTGTTGTGCCATGTAGGGTAACACATGGGAGGAGGAGGTTCGCCGGCGGTTGTGCGCAAGGGAGGCGGCCGATGGATGGGGAGAAAGCTGCTGGTGGTGAGGCCCGTCATAGGCCTGGTAAGGAAAGCCGGAATGCATTCCGGCAACTGGTTTGCGAGCCGGCGGCGGCTGATGATGCATTGGGAGTCGATAGTCGGTCATGCTGGGCTGTTGTAGCTGCACACCAGCCATCTAGGCAGAGCTCGATCGGTAAACGAGGGGGGAGACGAGGAACTGTGGTGACGGTTCCCACTGCGGGTGGTGGCGGAGATTGCAGGGGTAGCCACAGAGATAGATGAAACAAGATTGAGGTGAAGCGTCGACCAGTGATCTCCGCGATTTCTGGACAAAAAGGGAAAGTCGTAGATCGTGTGGGAGAGTGGTTTTTGAGGATCAATGAGCGGCCAGCGGCTGGGTTGTCGTACCGGACAGGCAACCGAATCCGAGGCGCGAAGAAAGGGAGAGGGACCGACCCAGCTGATACAATGGGAATGTGGTATCGGCGCTAGAATAGAAACGGCCTCTACCAAGAGGTTGCAAGCGCTTCAGAAGAGGCGGGCGCTTGAGTTGTTAGGGAGAGAGAGAGAGAGAAAAGAGGGGAGTGAATAAGATGACGCTGGCAGTGGTAGTGTTGGAGTAGCGGTGCTGAGAGAGTGCAAGACGCAGCAGACAAACAGACTCGCTCAGTCACTCATGCACACGAGGGCTGGCAGTTGGCGGGTACCCAATATTACCAAGTCACACCTGCAGGGGACATTGATAGAGCCGTGACCCGGGCACTACTTGAAGACCGACGCTTAACAGAAGGTACTAAGGAAGTAGTAGTAGCAGCAGCAGCAGCAGCAGCAGCAGCAGCAGTAGTAGTAGGAGACAGTGCTGACGCCCGGAATCCAACCACACAAGTCACTCACACACAGTCACTTTTCAGTGTCTCCGTCTTGTGATAAGAGTTATCTCTGACAGTAATTGATCACAAGGCGATCGAGGCAGACCAGGTAAATAAAGCAATGAAAAAGAGGGAAGAGAAAGAGAGGCGGGGTTGAAAGGACTGGAGACGAGCGAAATGAAGGGAAAATGAACGAACGGTTGAACAACGGACTTTGGAGGCGATCGATCGGGAAAAGAAGATGGGAGAAAAGAAAGAGGAGCGTGAACTTTGGTTCTGAAAAACCCAGTTGTGACCGTCAGACGGGGTGGTACCGAATACGACCCTCCGGTACAAGGTACCATTGATACCGCCCCTTACGGAACCCCAGGCAAACAATGGAAAGCACCTGCACAGCCACAGATGCACCAGGGATGGATGGGCCCTGTAGACAAGGAAATGCAGGCAATCGACCCAGAGAGCTACGAATCTATCCTAAAGGGAGCTTGGGAAGCTTCCCTTTCTCCTTTTGATTTGCGCTGTCTATCTCCCGATGTCTCAAAAGTAACACCCTGTTAGCGCGCGATAAGCTGTAAGACAACGATCGTCAGGAGACATCATCTTACTGCGCCACACCACGCACGTGGGCCAGGAAGGTATCATTGATACATAGACGATACCGGCCAGTGATACCGCACTAGGCAATCGCGGGAGATACCGTCGGTCAATGATACGGTACCTTACTACCACAAGGAACCGGATTGTACCAAAACCAGACAGCAGCAAATTAATGACGTCTATTACCCCACTGCTGAAACATCCGGAAGGCCGGCAGCACTGCAATTCTTTCTGATGATTTGGGGCTGAGGAGATGGGGAAGGACAAGATAGAGGAATTGTTTCACTGAGGTAGTCAGTGCATTGACGTATAACGGGCGCAGGAAGGCAAACCGAAGACGGTCAGAGGGGATCGGAGTGACCGGTTAGGCCGAGAGGTAGGGAGACGAGAGAGGGAGATAGAGAAGGGGGGTAGGTAGGTAGTAACTCTACACTACAGTTGGTTGCATTCGATCAAGGTACTTACAAAGTACTACTAGTTACTACCGGGGAGACTCGTAAGCACAGGAAGTA